TTGTATCAAAAGCTCTAGCTCAGGACTCACATTAACCTGCTATTATTTTTTTTTTCGACTGAATGAACAACCTGGTAAAAATTTAACTGTTTTTATGCGTCTTTGCATCTTATGCAAACCATAATTTCGAGAGCGACGTCCTTTTGCGTTGCATACAAGAAAAGACCAAAACACAGAAGCAACAACCATTCACACGATTGACGATCTGATTGTGTGAAGTTTTGCACAAAAACGCACGTCGTACGGGCAAGCCTGGTGCATTGCTACCTGGCTTTAAAGATTAGCCCGCGAGCTCATGTAAGTATGTAAATCAGGCTCGGTGTGTTGCCAAAGGTTGCCCATGCCTGCTTTACAACCATATCCCAGTCATCGCAAATCGAAGCCGTCCAGGCCGAGCCGAGTTTTCAGTAATTGCCCCAAAAAATGCTCGTATTCCCGGAACAAATCCAGGCTGCATTATGCGGGCATTTTTCTCACGGAACTGATACATCTGTCCCGGATTTGATGCATATGTTTTCGATCCCATCCTCTTCGTTCCTTCCTTCCTTAATTGCCCTTTTCTGTGCCACAGCTTGCCCTCTTTTCTTCAGGATGAGTGAGGAGGGCACTCTCTCTGTTGCACACACATACACACACACACATTGAGCAATAGCGGTGTTCGCGCATTTTGACGTGTGTCAGAGGCGGTGTACTTTAGCCGGTGGTGCCTGGAATCGTTGTTGCGCGCGCCGGGCAGTTCGCGGTGCGACGAGCACTCAGCTGTGTGCATCGATCGCCAGCTGCTCGATGTGCCAGCGCGCTGTCCTGGGACGCGGCCGGATGAGTGGCGGATGTGTGTGCATGGAGACTTGTCCCCTCTCGCCGTCCCTCATTTCGATCGTACCGGCCACCCATCGCTCCCTCCCCGCAGAGTGGTCCTCGTCGTCACTTCAGCCCAAGCATGACGCGAGCACACTTCTCCTGCTTGTTTCGTGGTTGTTCCGATCGATCGATTTGACTGGTGGAGACAGGTCGTTGTCGACTCACGGGTTTGATGTGAATGGAGAAGTGTGAGTCAAATACCGTGCTGCTGCGTTCGTGCCTCCCTTTTTGCCGCACTGTTACGCTTGCGGCAGTAGCCTGCCTCTACAAATGTGTTGCGCGAATTTTTACCGCATACTGGGAAGTTTAAATTTTGCAGGAAGAAGATCGAAGACATTGGCAAAATGACTGCTCTGTCGCAGGAGGAGATTTTGCAGAGCACACGTACGGTTGTGCAGGGGCTGGAAGCTCTCAAGGATGAGCACGAATCCATCAAGGTAGGCATCCTCACGCATTTCCTGATAAGCTGATTGTAGCATACAACTAAATGCCAAGAGCTTAGGGAGCGA